AAGGAGGGTAGAGAAGGCGGGCGAGAGAGGGGCAGGGGCAGGGGGAGGCACATGGGAAGGGGAAGGAAGACGGGTGAAGGAAGGGACGGGGCGAACAGTCCCACACATGCGACGTCCTGATTTTGTCAGGGCGGCGTCCCCGGAAGTCCGGACCCTTTTCCCAGGACCGGCGTTTCATTCTGGGTCGTTTTTGAACGCTCCCGAGGCCCGGCGAAGGCCCCCAGGGCCCGAAAATAAGGAAAAACCGCCCGTCCCCATTTTTCTATGACGCGCTTATGTGTGGGGTGAGAACAACAAGCAGGATAGGAGGAGGGCAAGACGGCGGAGTCTCTCCAAGGGTCCGAGGGCCTCCCGGGGCCTCCATGGAGGCCCCCATGCGGAGGCCTGCGGAGGCCATCTGGAGGCCTCCGAGGGCCTCCGACGCCCTCGTCGACGACGACGACGACGACGACGACGTGGACGACGACGACGACGACGACGAACACGACGAGCATGACGAGGAAGACGGCGGCGGCAACGGCGACGGCGACTCCGACAACGAAGACGGCGACGAACACGACGAGGAAGACGGCGGCGGAAACGGCGACGGCGACGGCGACGGCGACGAAGGTAAGGACGAGGACGAAAACGACGACGGCAACGACGGCGACGGCGACGACGACGGTGAGGACGAGGACGAGGACGACGACGACGCCGGCGCCGACGACGATGACGACGATAGTAGATCCCCAGTGTAGTGATTGTTCACAACGCCGACCCCTGGAGATTTCGACCAATTCTCAAAGGGAGCGTTGCGGGGGGACTGGCCCAGGGGAGAAAACATCGAGCTGGAATAGGCGACACATCGCCGACAGATCGGCGACGACGACGATGGCGAAACCGCACGGTCCTGGGCGGGGCGGGCTATCGGGCCCCCATCGGCGATCAATGGGCGACTGGGGATCGAGGCATCCCCCCCTGACCCTACGCCCCCACAACGTTGTCCCTGAACTTCCCAGGGGCTGGCTGCCCATCCTGAACCGTTTCTGAGCCTAAAATTACGCTGCCGAAGAACCCCACATACTTATGTGTTTGCTCTTCATTATCATATATGCGCAATCCTGCGTTCGAACCCCCCGTCGCGAATTTTGCCCTATATTGTCATCCAACACACTACTGAATGAACCTTGCCCCCGTTGCCGGCGTCGCCGACCCGCCGAACTTTCGCCAACGGCGACCCATCACCCTCTTCCGACTCCCCCGGCTGATCAGCGGGGAACCCGCCGGACGAAGGGTTCAGCAGGTACCTCACCAAAGCACAGCCTCCTGGCATCGTCGGCGCCTCTTGTTCGCGGCAACTCATTGTACCTGGTGAGGAGCGTGTCAGGCCACCAGTTGAGAAGCTGTCGCTGGTAAGAATTAAATGCAATGCGTACCAAGCCGCTCACATGCCTGTCAACATGTTCGCGCAAACCTTCTACGTTCACTTCGGCGCCCAGCTCTAGCATTGACTTCTTGAGCTGTTCGCATGGAGGCGGCAGCGCCGACATGGCACATTTGGGCGCCATGACAAGCGCTGCACCTTTGACGGACAGTCACCGGCGCTAGCACGCCTCAGTGCACACCCGAACGGTCTGAGCCTGCATGAGCCAAGGTGGCAACGAATTCTTGATGACGGTTGCACTGCGTTCCCCTGTGCCATGAACGCGACAGGTCCGGATAGGAAACTTGCGTACCGATGTGCCCTGAGCACCGCCGTCACGGATAGAGGCCGCGCTGAGAGACCACCACCTGCGCCCCCCCATGATGTCGAGAAGATGCAATTCCTGCTACGCCCAGGACGACCGTCACGGATAGCGGCCGCACTCGGACATCACATCACCCCCTGCGCACCCCCTATGGTGTTGTGAGAAACCACCCCCTGCGCACCCCCTATGATGGTGCCGAGAATATGCCATGCCTGCTGTGCACTGGACGACCGTCACGGACAGCAGCCGCGATGAGAGACCACCCCCTGCGCCCCCCCCTATTGAGGTGTCGAGAATATGTCATGCCTGCTGTGCCCTGGACGACCGTCACGGATAGCAGCCGCGATGAGAGACCACCCCCTGCGCACCCCCTACGGTGTCGGGAATCTGCCATGCCTGCTGTGCCCCGGACGACCGTCACGGATAGCAGCCGCGATGAGAGACCTCCCCGTGCGCACCCCCTTATGGTGTCGAGAATCTGCCATGCCTGCTATGCCCAGGACGACCGTCACGGATAGCGGCCGCGGTGAGAGACCACCCCCTGCGCACTCCCTATGGTGTCGAGAATCTGCCATGCCTGCTGTGCCCTGGACGACCGTCACGGATAGCGGCCGCGGTGAGAGACCACCCCCTGCGCACCCCCTATGGTGTCGAGAATATGCCATGCTTGCTGTGCCCTGGACGACCGTCACGGATAGCGGCCGCGGTGAGAACCACCCCCTGCGCACCCCCTATGGTGTCGAGAATATGTGCCTGCTGTGCCCTGGACGACCGTCACGGATAGCGGCCGCGGTGAGAGACCACCCCCTGCGCACCCCCTATGGTGTCGAGAATATGCCATGCCTGCTGTGCCCTGGACGACCGTCACGGATAGCGGCCGCGGTGAGAGACCACCCCCTGCGCACCCCCTATGGTGTCGAGACGTGCCATGCCTGCTGTGCCCTGGACGACCGTCACGGATAGCGGCCGCGGTGAGAGACCACCCCCTGCGCACCCCCTATGGTGTCGAGAATATGCCATGCCTGCTGTGCCCTGGACGACCGTCACGGATAGCGGCCGCGGTGAGAGACCGCCCCCTGCGCACCCCCTCTGGTGCCGAGAATATGCCATGCCTGGTGTGCCCTGGACGACCGTAGCGGCCGCGGTGAGAGACCACCCCCTGCGCACCCCCTACGGTGTCGAGAATATGCCATGCCTAATGTCCCTCTGGTGTCGAGAATATGGCATGCCTGCTGTGCCCTGGACGACCGTCACGGCTAGCGGCCGCGGTGGGAGACCACCCCCTGCGCACCCCCATATGGTGTCGAGAATATGCCATGCCTGCAATGCCCTGGACGATCGTCACGGATAGCGGCCGCGGTGAGAGACCACCCCCTGCGCACCCCCCATGGTGTCGAGAATATGCCATGGCTGGTGTGCCCTGGACGACCGTCACGGATAGCAGCCGCAGTGGAGACCACCCCCTGCGCACCCCCTATGGTGTCGAGAATATGCCATGCCTGCTGTGCCCTCGACGACCGTCACGGATAGCGGCCGCGGTGAGAGACCACCCCCTGCGCACCCCCTCTGGTGTCGAGAATATGCCATGCCTGCTGTGCCCTGGACGACCGTCACGGATAGCGGCCGCGGTGAGAGACCCCCCCCTGCGCACCCCCATATGGTGTCGAGAATATGCCATGCCTGCAGTGGACGTCACGGATAGCGGCCGCGCTGAGAGACCACCCCCTGCGCACCCCCTCAAGTGTCGAGAAAGTACCCAGTATGGTGTGCATGCGTCTTGAATGTATGATGCAGTGAACGCGCCACGCGTGTCTCACTCGCGTGCCCTGCGGCTGTATGTTGAGAAAGTGCAACGCCTGTTCTGCGCCATGGCCCGCATAGAGCCTCCTGCCATGCACTTCGAATCCTACACGCACGTCTGTGACGGGGGGTACCTCATGTGGGTGCCCAGTATGTTGTGCATGCGTGTTGAATGTATGATGAAGTGAACGCGCCACGCGTGTCTCACTCGTGTCTCATGTACGTGCCGTGGATGTGTTGCGCGTAGGTGAATGGAGGAAGCAAGCGGAGGAGGGGAGGAGGGAGGAGGGGAGGTGTGTGTGTGTGTGAGGAGACGCGGGTGCGACGCGGCAAGGAAGAAAACCATAATCCCACGAAACATGTGGGGAACAATCCAAAAACCGTCAGTCGTGGTATTGCTCACGACGCGAGGAGGCCTCGGACGACGACGACGATAACGACGACGACGACGACGGCGACGACGACGGCGACAAGGGCTGGCGGCGACGGCGATGGGGACGGGAGGTGTCCGAAGGCCTCCCAGGGTCCTCTGGTGGCAACGGGGAGCTCCCCGGAGGCTCTTCGAAGAAGACCCTGCCCATACATGCGACGATGTGAGTTGTTCAATGCGCGGCCCCAATGGTATCCCATTGTCCCAGGGCCCGAGAATGGACCCTAGGGGCCAATACCGAGAAAAGTCGCCCCGATTGGAAAACAAATCGCTGGGGATCCGTGTTATACGGGCTCCGAGGAACACTCTCGCGTCGACGACGGACGACGACAACGACAACGACGCCGCAGACGTCGACGGGAGCACCGACGCCGACGCCGACGCCGACGCGACGCCGCTGACTACGACGATAACGACGACGAACACGACGACCACGACGACGACGCCGACGACGACAACAACGACATCAACGACGACGACGACGATAAACACGACGACGACGACGACAACGCCGACGACGACGACAACGGCGGCGGTGGTTCTGTTGCATTCCCAGAGGACCTTGTGCGACCTTGCCTGCGTCGAATCCGCGCCGAACCGATATCGAACCCGTCGACTCCGCATTCGACTCTGCGCCGAGTCCGCGCCACGGCCGCGCCGAGCCCTGCACGGAACCCGCGCGGGGCACACGGAAAGGCACCCCAACGCGAGGCACGCGAAGAGGAGGAGGAGGAGGAGGAGGAGGAGGAGGAGGAGGAGGAGGAGGAGGGGGAGGAGGAGGAGGAGGAGGAGGAGGAGGGGGAGGGGGAGGAGGAGGAGGAGAGGAGGAGGAGGAGGAGGAGGAGGAGGAGGAGGAGGAGGAGGAGGAGGAGGAGGGGGAGGGGCAGGAGGAGGAGGAGGAGGGGAGGGGGAGGAGGAGGAGGAGGAGGAGGAGGAGAGGAGGAGGAGGAGGAGGAGAAGGAGGAGGAGGAGGAGGAGGAGGAGGAGGAGGAGGAGGGGGAGGGCCCCCCGGAGGAAGCGGCGCGAGGCGGCGGCGGGCGGGCCCGAGGAGCGGCTGCTGCGCGGGCGGCTGCATGGTGCGCGGGGCGTAGGCGCCGCCGCCGCCGCTCGGCGGCAGCCCGGCCTCGCCCCAGGCGAACTGGTTCCTCGGCCAGGTCGTGGCGGCGAGGGTGTGGAAGGAGAGAGTCTCGTGCTCCCCGGCCTTCTCTTCCAGCCCTCTCGACTCCTGGTTCCTCCTGCTCCTCCCTCCTCCTCCTCGCTTCTCCTCTTCTCCTCTCTCCTCCGCCTCCTCCTCCATTTCCTCCCGCAGTTCTCCTCGTCACCCCTCTCTCCTCCTCCACCTCCTCCTCCTCTTCCTCCACCCCCTCCTCCTCATTCTCCTCCGCCTCCTCCCTAATCCTATCTCCTCCTCTTTCTCTTCCTCCTCCTCTCCTCCTCCTCCTCCTCCCTCATCCTCGTCTCTCGTCTCTCCCCCTCTTCCGTCTCCTCTCTCCTCCTCCTCCTCCTCCTCCTCCTCCTCCTCCTCCTCCTCCTCCTCCTCCTCCTCCTCCTCCTCCTCCTCTGCAGCTGCTCCACGTGCGAGTTCAGCATGGCGCTCTGGCCCCAGCGCGGGCCACGCTTCTGGATCCGAGTCTGTCCTCATCGTCGTCGCAACCCCTCTTCAGAAGTCAAAAATCCCCCCCCCGAACGACTACCGCGACGCGCGAAGTCGTTCAGCAAACGCGACCAAAGATAGAATCGAACAGGGCAGGGCTGTTTGGTAAACGCCCAGGGCCGTTTAGTAAACGCCAATCGTCCGGTCCGGGTGGTTGTTTCTCCCTTCACCCTCGTTGTCCCTCCTCCGCCTTCTCCTGGTCCTCCTGCTACTCCGGCTCCTTCCACTCCAGCGCCTGCTGCTGCTGCTCCTCGTCCTCCTCCCCCCTCTTCGCCTTGTTCCCCACAGCCTCCATCCGCAAGCTCATCCTCCTCCCCCTCCTTCAATGTACGCAGCCCCCCCGTTCCGATTGCGCACGACACGATGGTGCCCTGCTCCAGGTTCGCTACGGCACGCGTCGGCGGATCAAGACAAATCAGCGCAACGGGAAGAGATGGGTAGACGGGGGTAAGATGTCAGACATGGCGCGAGCATACCTAACTTCCCAGGCCCCCGACGCCATGAATTGTTTCAAAACGTCGACCCCAGAGGTCTCGACCCGTTCCCCAGGACCGTCCCTTCATCCTGAGCCGTAGGCCGAAACAAATAACGAAGAAAAGCTGACGTCTTGATTGCTTCAGGACGCGAGGGGGCCTGGGCAGCCCCCTTCCCATCTCCCTCCCTATACCTTTTCTTCATGGAACGATGATTTCCTTCGAGCAACAGTGGACCTGCGGACAAGTGTGTCCCTGACCCGGGCCGAGTTGCGAAGGTGACCCGGCGAGCGGTCAGCGGACAGACGCTGCACTCCTGGCGCACGTGGCCCCTCCCATCACTCTCCATCCCCTAGCTCGGGGCCTCTCACCCGCGCCCCTGGTCGCGGGACCGTGCCGCCTCTCCTCGGCCTCCCCCGTGGGTCCTCCAGTCGGGCAGGACCTTGTCCAGGATCGCCCACACCCTGATGACCATCCACGCCTTTTTGTTGGCGACGGGGAGGAGGAGGAGGAGGAGGAGGAGGAGGAGGAAGAGGAGGAGGAGGAGGAGAAGGAGGAGGAGGAGGAGGAGGAGGAAAAGGAGGAGGAGGAGGAGGAGGAGAAGGAGGAGGAGGAGGAGGAGGAGGAGGAGGGGGAGGAGGACAAGCTAGGTGCGCCCGCGTCATATCTGACATCCTACCCCTCCCTCCCATCCCTTACCATGGCGCAGATCCCCTCTCTACTCGCACAGTCGGATGTCGAGCAGGGCAATGATCCCGAAAGGGTACGCGATGCATTGTAGAGCACGGCATGGCATGGCGTAGAAGAGCACCGCAAAGCGTAGTATCAACCTAGCATTGCATTGCACGCCGTGGCATGGCACGGAAAATGACGCCAGCGCTGCAGCGGGAGCACGATTCGAAACGAGCGGAAGCGCGGAAATGAGGCCAGCGCTGCAGCGGGAGCACGATTCGGAACGAGCGGAAGCACGGAAATGAGGCCAGCGCTGCAGCGGGAGCGCGATTCGGAACGAGCGGGGCCCGAAAATGAGGTCGGCGCCTCAGCGAGAGCAGCACGTTGGAAACAAGTGCAGGCGAAAATCCAACTCCGGGGGAACTTGTGTAAACAAAACAGTGCGCGGGGGGGGGCGGACACTCCCAGGCCGTCATCAGGGGAAGAGGGAGAGTAGTATTCGTACTGAGTAATTGTAGAATAGAGGCACGAGGAAGAGAGGTCCAGGAGGAGGTTGGGGATCGTCCGACTCGGTGAGGAGGGGGAGGAGGAAGGGGAAAAGAGGATATATTTTTGCCCGAGGGGCTCCAGCCGCGTCCGGCCAACAGTTCAGGCCAGTCCACAAGGGAGAAGCAGCGGCGGCGACGGCTGCACCTCCACGCAGCGCCAGCTGCAGGAGAGAGCGATGGGGGATCGCGCGAACGTGCTAGACCACGGTCGGGGCTGCGCCCCCGTGGCCTAGTCTGGCTCGTCCGAAACCTCCCCCCCGCTCCCCGTCGCCCCAGGCGGCGGAAGACCTCCTGCAGCTCTAAGGAGGCGCTGCACTTTCTCTTGAAACGTAGCAGCTCGAGTCGGCACAAGCCCGAGCGGCACCACATCATCCCCTAGTGCCTGGGCATCCCCAGCACTTCCCAGAACAGCACTCAAACCAGGAGCGGGTTGCTCTGGCACTAGGGGTGGGGCTGCACAGCTCGCTGCAGGCTGAGCAACCATGCGACGGTGGGGCGGTGTTCGCCCGCTCTGCCTCGGGGCGCCAGGCTGGCTGGCCTCGCGAAGAGCAGAGGGTACATAAAAAAGAGATGAGCGGAGCTTCATCTTCCTGTCGTTCCAGAGCGCCCTTCTCCTGAGGGCTCAAGGCCCGCACAACATCACAAGGATGCTCTGGCACGACCAAAGGGCCCCCACGGTTCGCATCGGCGCAAGGTACGGCAGAGGACTCGCTGTCGGCAGCGGCCCCTTCCAGCACTGAGCTGCCAAGGAGGGCGCTAGCTCGAGTCGGCTCGAGCCTCGCACCAGGAAGTGTCGCAGTACGCAAAGGTGGCGATGTTCGCCCCGTGTGATGCGAGGCGCCAGGTTGGCAGGCCTCAGGCAAAAGGCCAGGCTGCGCATAGCGAATTACTAGCATAGATTCGTCCTCCTGTCGGTCCAGAGCATCCTCCTCCCGAGAGCCTAAAGCTCGCACAACGCAGACAGGATGCTCTGGCGCGGCAGATGGGGCGGCACAGCTGGCGGGGTCGAGAGGTCTTGCGTCTGCCTTGCTGTCGGCAGCTTGTACCTCGGCTGATGCGGGACAACGTGTGGATGCGCCGTCGTCTCCCGAGGCTGCGGCATCGGCAAGCGGGTGCTGAACGCAATCTCCTCACCGTGGCCACGGCCGCACGGGGCGCAGGTGAAAATATCGCAGCCCATTTTTTCCATTTTTGAATGCGATATGTCACAGATTTTTTTCGGGGGCGCGCGCGTTTCCAACGTCCTCCCAGTGTGCGGCACACGTGGTCGGGCCAATACTTGCGGTCGTGGCTGTTATCGTTGTCGCAATAGCCCGTCTGATTGCCGTTGCGATGCCATGACCCGCGGTCGAAGATGCAACGCCACCTTCGCTGCGCCTGCGGATCCAACCGCATCCACAGTCGCACCACGAACCGCTGTCCTACGCGCAACCGGGGCCGCAACGGCACCCTCGTCGCACCAGTAGCCGCCAGAAACAAAAGAACGCCATTGCAAGCCAACCCAAGAGTCGCAACGGTTGCCGCGGTCGAGGCACCAACCTCGCGCCCGCGACCGCATCGTCGCCCTCTCTCAGGCCACGCTAACAACCGCCCCGGCGCCTTCGCACATTTGCCCTGCGCGGTCGCCCCACCTTCCGAGACCGCGGCAACCGCAACAGCGAAAGCGGTTGAGGCAGCAATCAGAGGATTACCAGCCGCGGCGCTGCCGCGACGCGGTACCTTGGCGCCACCGCCCTAAAACCAAGGTCGCTGCCGCAGCACGCGCGCGCGCGGTCGTCGCAGCCGCTATCGCAGCTGCTCCCGCGCAAGCCGCTTCTCACCCGAAGCGCGCTTGCGATTGCCACTATAGACAATGTCAGCGTTTGGGCCAAAATGGCGACTGGGGAGGGGAAGGCGAAATTGGGGGAGAAGAGAGAGCAGAGCAGGGGTACGATGGGGGGAGGACATGGGGAAAAGGGCACTCTCAGTTGCGGTCGCAACCCTTGCATCATCCAGGGCTCGGGCCAACGTGGCGAGCGGGGGATTGATATGGGGAACACGAGGGGGGCGAGGCAGGAAGCAGGAAAGGTGCGACCGCGTGCCGGATGCACCAACTGAGCAACATTCAAGAAATCACATTCTAAGTCCCTGCATGGGCGAGCAAAAGACGCAGGGCGAGGCCGATCACCCGAAGTTCCACGGCCCCTGCAATGCGCGATGGGGGCTAAGCTTACCAGGGCAGGGGTCAGAGATCTGGCCACGCACGACGCGCGACCTCCTGGTTACGCTACGCGCACTTCCTTACATGTTGCGTTTTGTTTTGCAACCCGTGCCGTTGGCCCTAACACGTGGTTGCCTGTGGCATCCGGCCTGTATTTCTCCTTCTGCCCATATCCCTTCCCTTTCCCCTCCATGCGCGCGTGCCCGAATGACATCCGCCGCCGCGCCTCCGGCGCGTTGGGGCGCGTTGGATTGCTCGCCCGCTGCGCGGTTGATGATATGTCTGCATGTCGGGGTGCGGCCGCCCTGCCAGCAGCATGCCTCCGAAGGCTTTGTTTCGAAAGATCAAATTCGCCAGCGCCTTGTTCATTTCCAGGCGTCGGCGGGCTACCCTGGGACATCCCGAGAAAACCTGCAAGTGCCCCAAAGCTAATTCAAAAACGGCCTGAGGAACCCTGAAACTGCCTAAGATGACTCCACGGCGCTCTGCGCGGCCGTGGGATCTTCCCATGGACGCCCACGAAGATCTCGAACAGGGCCCGAAAAAATGAAACACATCACAACTATATAGACGGTCACTCCGTCTTTGCCCCCGAGAATGTTCCGCAGCCGATCGCCACGGTGGAGCCTCAAATAACTCCCCAGGAAAACTCGTGAGCATGGCCAGCAAGCCTGCCCCGAGAGAGCCCGCGGGCGGCCCCCAGGCCGCCCAAGCACCGTTGGCGCAACCCGCGAAAGCCCCGAAACGGCCCCGCAGCCCAACCCCACGGCATCAAGAAACTTCAAGTGAGGCTCAGCGAGTGGCCTCAACGGCATCATCACACCCCAAACGGGCCCGAGACCCCCGAGGTGCCTCCGGAGCGCCCCACGCGGGTCCGCGAGAAGCCCGCGACAAGGCCTAGGAAAGCCCCTATGAGACACATAAGCGACGAGAGGCTTCCAACGACGTCTCACAAGGAGAAGGGGAAGGGGAGGGCGACGAGGCAGATGACGGTGAAAGGAAAGAGGGACACCAGGATGCAAATGAAGAGGCGGCGTCCACGCATCGCGCCACTCCAAATAAAATGGTCCGCTGGGGGGATATTGAACTCCAGATCCGCCCTATTGCAGTGAGGCGCCGGCGAAACGGCGGGGCGTGCCGCAGGCATCTGAATATACCCGCCGGAACGAACGCACCGCTGCCATGTCTGCATTTTCTCCTCGGCCCACACTCGGTCCGCCTGAACTTCGAAAAATGTCATCCCTCTGTATGGCCCCGGGGCGCTGCAAGAGGCAAGCGTCTCAAATTGCTGCGCTGCAACGGGCATCCGGCGCGAGTCACGACAATTCAATTGGGCAACTCCCTTCCAAAAGAATTCCTCGCGCCGCGATGCACCTGAGATTGCGACAGCAAGCTACCCCCAATCGGTTACTGGCCAAATTAACTCCCCGCGAACCCGCCAGCCAACTGCGCACCCAGTGCTTCGCCCCCAGACTTTCGCATAATCCAAACATCTTAATTGGGCGTGGCCCCTCCCGTCCGCCTCCTCCGCCCTCGCGTTTCCACGTTGCTTCCTCCCTCCTCCCCCCCATCCCCCCCTCGCCCATGTAGCATCCACCCTCCCTCCCCTCTCCTCCCCCCACTCCCGCGCCCCCCTCCCACCCTACCAATCCACGGCCGCTCACCCGCTATCCCCCGCCCTACCCCGCTATTATATTCCCATCCTCCTTCGCGCCACCGCCCGCTCCCGTCGCCCCACCACCGCGCGCGCCCTGACCGCGCCCCTGGCGCGCACAAGCGCGCGCGCGGGGCGAGCGAGCGATATGCGAACGATACGCGTTATGCCGCCATTCCGAGATATTGCGCGGAAGGCGCGATGCCAAACTAAGACGCCCATCGCGGCGAGAACTATGTGTTGTTTTACACGAGGGCACGAAACACGAGTCCTCAAAATATGCACCACGCAAGCCAATCACAAAACCACGCGAACGACACGGACCCGAGGAAGAAAACGCGGCGTAGACACGAGGGCCCCCCAGCTTCCAAAAAACACGTTTACACCCCTTGTCGTCTAGCCCCCCC